TCAGAGTTGGAAGGGACCTCTGAAGGTACCACTGTTGGATTGGGTGCTCACAGCTCTCAGTTGACTTCATCCTGGGCTGTTTTCTCAGTCAAGTGAATGCCAGTGGAGTACTTCCATTAAGTGCTTTTATTCATTCAAAATTGTTCAACACTAGTTTTGAAACATGATTAAATGATTATTCTGCTTCTTCTTTGTTTTGTACAGCTACACCCTGAAATGCCAAACGAAGCCAGATTTTGGCAAAGAATCTATGAAGTTTGAGTTAGAAGTGTGTCGGCTCAGTAAGAATGAAGCAGTTGGTATCAGGAGACAGAGGCTCAGAGGGGATGCTTGGGTCTACAAGAGGCTGGTGGAAGACATTTTATCCAGCTGCCAAGTGTGACTGCTGCTCAGAAAGCCACAATGTTGTACTGAGACTTTAATCATCGTTTTAGAAAAAATCAGTCTGGAAAGGTAATTTGTGATCTCCTTCACAGATGTATTTGAGAAATCTTCTCGGCTCTTATAGTTTTAACCACCCCCTTTGTGTATATGCCCACTGCACGTTTCCTTTTCTTACAAAAACTGTCAACTTCAGCTACACGTTCTGCAATTGTAACTCGACTGAAATAAAATTCCTTAAACTATCCCCTAGCTCCACTGCCCCATTTTTCATATCTGCTATAAAAAAATGTTTTTGGTGTTGATATGCTGAGGCTCATTTATGGTACGATTCCAGTTATCAAGTAGATGTGGTACATAAATGCATTTGCATAATTCTCTTCTTGTCTTTGTTTAAGTAGGATTTATTGAGATCATTAACTAAGTCACAGATGTGGATCACAGAGTTGAAATACATGCTCAGTGCCATACCAAATAGAGCTATCTTCAATAAATGGGAAGTCAAGTGGGCCAGGATTTAAACTGTGATCCTATGTAAAACATTGCTACAGCTCATTATTAAGCCTCTGTGATGCTTAAAAAGTGAGTGTTCTTTCTGATGCTCCTGTGTCCCCTGGTTCGTTATGTTAAGAATAATGCAGCACCTTTTAGTTGCTGTGAATGAAGGAAACATTTCCATTAGGTTTTGCATGCAGCTGAGAGGGGATGGTGTGAGGTGTGCACAGAGAGCCAAGAGTGTGGCAGCCTCCTGCAGCTGCTTCTGCCCCACACCCCTCCTGCCTGGCTGTCGAAGGTCTCTGCCCAGGATGGGGACACAACCCCACTTCCTCCTTTGCAACAAAGCTGAGCATATAACCCAGAGAAGCGAGACTTGGCCAGACGACCCTGCTGGAACAAACATTTCTATGCTCTCGCATGTCCCTGCTGATCAGTGGGTCTGACCAGGACTGGTTTCCATCACTTACTCACTAATTTATTGCCCTTAATTGGCCAGGTACACTTAGAGAGGACTCTCCCACAGATTCTTCAGATGCTATTAGCTTTGCTGAATGTAAAAGGGAAGCACTGATCCTAGGTTAATACAAATAACTTCTGAAATCTGCAGAACTAGAAAGGAAACGTAGGAGTTGATAGAGTTGCTAAGATATCCGTCACAAAACAGTACATCTCCAAAGCTTGATTTCTTCTGTTATGCAGTAATACCTTTAGCCTGCACCGGGAATGTATGAGAATGTGAGCACCAACCACAATGATATCCAACTAAGCACCAGTATCAGAGGGTAGCTATGCTGGAGCTTTTCTGCATACAAAGGCCCACTAACACCTAGAAAGGGGCTGTGGATCACAGCATTGTGCCGCAGGTTTTCCTTCATGAAGGGAACTGTGGTCTGTGCAGTATGTAAGCCACATTCCTGGATGAGGCTTTCTCATCCAGAAGCTACGTACAGGGGCTACAACAATCCACAGCCCTTAATGCATGAAGCAAAAGGATATATTCATCAGAATGGCTGACCAAGGTAGAAGTCTCCATCACTTTTTTATAACTTTATGTTCCCAGTTTGCTGCTCTTCAGGTAGGGAAAGAACTGGGAATGTTTTCAATGAATTTCAAGGAAAAGTTAAAAATGTTACTAAATTTTTTGTATTTCTGGTCAAGAACCTTTCAGATGCAGAATGACATAAAAGGAGGAACACTTTACAGGAACATATGATGACACAAACCTGACCAACAAATGCAAGGAAAGGCTGCAACGTGAGCCCAGCCTGGTCAATCACATTAACAACAGATGTGTATGGAATGTGTGCCAATGGTTCAGGCCTGGTTCAGCCTGGCTCTGTGACTAACAGAGTGGAGGGCCCACGGACCCATGTCTTGAGATAGGCCTAAAAACAACACAGTGGCAATGAGGCTTAAGTCCCTTAAACTTTAATGCAAACAGTGAATACCACAAAGTGAGATTTTACAGGTGGTTATGACCAGTACAAAGGGTTGAGCTTGATAATTAATAATTGATTAAAATTTTAAAAAAGGATAATAAATTGATAATTGTTGACAAAAGTATACATAACATACAGTTCCAACAAATTAAAGTTTTGTATTGGTATTTAAATAACTTCTGTGCACGACCCCTCCAGCTGCAATATTAGACATCTGTTTGGTTTTTAGCTGTTGAAATTTAAGCCTGCTAAATATCAGAAATCAGCTAAAGATGCCAGCACTGCTGGAGAAAGATCCTTCTCTTTTGGAACTCTTTTTCCCTGTGTTCTTCAGCTATCTCATCCAATTTCTTCTGAGTTTTCCCACTATTTGCAGTGTTGGTGACAGGTCATGCATCTGCAGCATCCCACAGTTTTGGCACTATTGCCTTTTCATCCAGAGAGTGTGTTTCTTAGTGGTTTGTGAAAACTAAGAAGGCTTTAAAACATCTTTAACAGAGCTTTCATAAAACAGCAGGAATCTGCCCCTGTAAGCAGCAAAGAAGGCCAGCAACAACTGAGGTTATGTTATGAAGTGCAGGTCAATGCTGGAGAACGTTCCCCTCAGTACTGGTGAAGCTGTTTTGCAGAACCACGTCCAGTTCTGGGCTCTGCAGTACAATAGGAGCGGGGAGCTGCCATAGAGAGTCCAATCAAATGACACACAGATGGGGAGGGGTCTCCATTCTCAAGCATTTCCTTCAATGATGAAAGACTCAGGGTGAGCAGGGAAGACTCATGGGGCATCTTATGAGAAACACGCTCAAAATCAACAGTTTCCAATCAGGGCAGGATCTCTGTGAAGGACATTTTATTCATTATTGCAATAGTGGGTGCACACCCCTAATGACCAGGGAGAAATTGCACAACCAGTCAGTGAAATCCATTCTGTTAGACCTGTCAGATCCTGGGTTTGATGCAGGTAAAGCCTCTCCTGGCACTCATTGGTTGAGCATCTCAGGATCACAACCTTCCAACACTGTTACTACCTTATACTTCCACACAATGTCTGCTACCAACACATTGTTTTTAGGTATGTTCTGTACTTTTTATTGCGACAGGAGGACAATATTTTCAACTATCTGCACACTAGCTCTGTCCTGTACCAGACTCTCCCCTACCCTGTATAATTACCTTACCTGGTGCCTGTGCCAATTTTACCTAGGTTGGAAGACTCCGGTCTCAACTTCACTCTGTTCAGCAGCTTTCTGTGTGAAAAACAACTTATCCCATGTTACACACAGAAACACTGGAAATTTTCACTGCAAAAACACAGGATTCAGGATTAGAGTTACACTGGGGGTTAATATGGTTATCTTTACAGCTCCTATGGGGGTTGGGGTCCAGGTCAAGGTTAACATTAAGGCTACATCCCACCCAGTGAGGGCCCCTGCTGCCATTCACTTTGATGCTCTGAGCCCCAGAAAAAGGCCCAGGGCACAAAGTGAAGCAATGCAACCCCACCAGATAACTCTTGTGGAGCAGCAGCGCTTGGGGATTTGATATTCACAAAGGAAGGGCAACACCTAAGAGACAAAGAAGAAGGGAGTGGGAATAACAGGGAAAAGCAAGGCAAAAAACTGCGGAGAACCAGGGAAAGAGGGGAGGAAAAGGACACGCAGTCAGGAAGGTCCTAAAGCACCGTAAGGAGCTCTGGGAGCACCGCAATGTGCCGCGCTGTGAAATGGGAAAGATTTGCATCTATACGAGGTCTTTACCTGTATGGGCAGTCACCAAAGTTGGGCTACGGGACATTCCTGGACATGAAGCTTTCCCCTGCCGAGCAGCACCAGAAGCCATCCGGTCAAGAATCTGCAGATGATCGGGGGGTGCTGCCTTTCCCCTCCCAGCCTGGCACGGTGCGTTTTCCTGCTCGTTTCCCGCTCTCTTGCGGTGCACGGGAGCAATACAGGCATGCGCCGAGCAACACAGACGAACCGTGCGCGCGTGGCTGCTTACCTGCAGCGCGTGGTGACGTGCCCGCAGCCGTGAGGCTGCCCCAGCCAGCCCCGCGACGGCGAATCGCCGAGCTGCTCGCGTTCCGCTGCCGCTGAGAGCGCTTTTAAATGGCTGGGGAACGGTGCAGGGCGGGGGCTCGTGGGGAATGCCCATCAGTTCACCACGGCGACGAGCTAATTGGACGCTTGTCCAAATATCCATGCCCACAGTGCGTCTTCGAGCGCACGCATGTGGCCGACCGGAGGGCTTCTCACAATAAAGATTGGCGGACTCTTTGCGCAGAGCGGTCAAAACTCCGATACGCCACTTCCGCATCTGGGCGTGCATGCGTCGTGCTGCCTGCGGCACCAAACACACACGGGCGCAGTTCCGCCGATTGACCACGCGGGGGCAGCAGAGACTGCGGAAACAAATTCTCCGCAATTTCCCAAATTGGCCACGAGGGGCAGGAAAGACCGCGGAATCAACTGCTCCTGCGGATTGCTGCTGAGCCGCAGCGCAGCCCCAGCGATCCGTTCCATTTCTTTTGATGGCAGAAGAAAAACAGAAGAGGAAGAGGAGGGGAGGGGGAAAAAGGAGACGACGAAGAAAACCAAGGAAAACTTCGACAAACCCACCAAACCTGTGCTTATGATTTGTGTGGAAATAAATAAATAAATAACCAGCAAACTGATGTTGTCATGCTTTTTTTTTTTTTTTTTTTTTTTCAGCCAGTGTCTGAGGTGATGGAAAAAACTGGTATCAATCAGACAGATGTGTGCAGCGAAGCCAAAGATGGCTTGGAACGATTAACACAGCAACACAAGACAGTCAAGCAACTCTTAGAAGAACCATAGCAGGAACAGCTTCTGTACCTGGCCTCGCCATGCTGATATCCCATCCGGGTCGCTCAAGACTTGTCAATATCCACTGAATTGGTTTTGATATTGAGCAATTTGCTCTGAGTTCTTCCATTCACAACCAATGCCAAGATCTGCTGCAGGGCGTTCTGACCACAGCCACCATGGCTGAATCATTCTAATAACAGTAAGATTCCCAGGCACAGCTTCAAGGATTTGGTCTATTTTTAACCCAAGGGAAGAATTAATATGAAGCGTGAGGTATGCATAAGTCATCACGAGGCATGCTTCTCAGCATCACCTTTGGGAAACAGATAATGGATTTGTCATAAAAGTCACAGCACAGCAATCACATACAACCCTATCTAAGAATAATATGAGAACACTTCACCAGGAGGCAAGGAACTTTATGACCTCCATCTGGGAAATCCATCACCGTTTGCCTGCAGACTCCTCTCTGGCAACTGTTCTAGATCCAGCTGTACATTCCATTCAAGAGCACAACTCAAAACTACAATGGAAACAAAGGGAGTTTTATGCAGGTAAAAGAAAAAGAACAGTATGTTCCCTTCAGTATTTAAAATAAGCAAGAAAGCAATCAATGACAGAAGCCATTCCTAGAATACCCCTATGGGAAGCATAGCAGCAGAGAAGAAAGCATCCACATTTCTCTGAACCACTGCTCCAAGGAAAAAAAGAAGAAAAAAGGAAATTTTGTGTAGACGTGACCTGTTTGAAGGCATACACCATCCTCACACTTTGAAAAAAATAAAATGCGTAGAGTAATCTCCTCCAACAATACGTATGTTTGATCTAGGCAGCAAGTATATGATATAGTGCAGCTATGTATCAAAAAGGACTGAAGCCATAAGCACCAAGCTCAGCTCCAGCCAAAGCAACCAGACGTGCCTATGGACAGGCAGTATCCTTAAGGAGGACAGCTGGTAAAAATGTCAAACAAAGCACCTGATTCTCAGCCTTCTCATTCCTTTTTGAACATTCAGAGCCCTCTGTGCCAGCTCCACCGCTGGCCTGTAAAGCCCAAGCTCACAGTCTGCTGGTACTCCTTGTAAGCAAAGAATTGAGACTGGACTGAATTCTAGGAAGGCATTGCATCAGATCAAAACTAGTGCCTCCCTGAGTGACAAAGTACGGGGCTAAAGAAAAATGGCTTAATTCCTAAAGAACAAAGTTAATCCCTGCATACCCGAAGGAAGCAGAACAGATGCCAACAGACAGACAGCTTTTTTTCCTCTATTCGCTCAAAGCTTTCAAACCTCCCTTTTGCTTCTTGCTCTCCTTAGAAAGCTTTTTGCTGTGAGAAACGACATCCTGCAAAGAACAGAGAGGGACAGAGGGACAGATCCCACGGTTATATATTCCAAAACAAACAACACTGGAAACACTTGCAGCTGAGAGGTCACTTTCCTGCATGTGGAAAAGTCAGAAGCGAGGTACGTCTGGGGCTGATGAAGGGAAATCTCATTTGTTAGAGCAGTGAGTTCTCCATCCTGTCCCTGAATTCCTGAGTTTGCTGAGAACCCAGGACAAATTGCTGTGAGCAGGGATTACTATCAGAGCTGGCAGCATCCTGAAGATGCTTGAGAACGCCTTTCTTTCTAAACTGGGCTTCAAGCTTCAAGTTTTTCCTATTTTGCTGCCTCACTCTGTGGTTCTGTTTCTCAGCAGCAGAAATACTATCAGGAATCGAGTTTCCCTTCAGACTCAGCAGCTGTCTGCTCTTGGCACCACTTTACCAACATCATCCCAACTGACCTCCATAACTGCCCCGATGTTATACATCACGCTAGAAGTATTTATTGCAAACACAGACTCAACGCACACTGGTGTTATTCTTTCAGCAGTACTCACTGAGGGTTTTGTCTTCTCATGCTTCGTTTGCTCTGATAAAGGCTTGAATGTTTACAATGTCATTTCTCCAGGATTGAAGAACAGCAGCAAAAACAGCCACTTCAGCTCGTTTAGGGAGGAGTAAGAAGTCAGATACTGAATTTATTGAACAGCCTCTTACGTGGCCTCTGAAGCACTGCAAGTGATCTCTGTAACACCTTCTGGTTTGATACAGCCTGGTTACTGATTGAATCTGTAGGAAATAAACCAGAAATAGGTCAGACAAAAGACTTTTCCATAGATCTTGCTACTCAAAATGTTTACCAAAAAAAAAAAAACCAACAAAATCCCCATGGAGCCTTTACTACCTTCACTCCATGGTCCTTGTGTGCTCATAGGTAACACAGATAGATTTGATATGCCTTCCTCTGCTTATAGCCGTGGCACTGGGACTGAAAACAGAAGACAAAACCTTACTTTACTTTTCAAATCAGAGAAGTAATTACAATTCTAATTCACTGATTACCTTTTGCAGTTGTGCAGGTCTATCAGACTCAGCTGCAGCTTCTCATCTGCCCTTCTCTGGTCCTGCTGCAGCTGGAGAGAGCACACGAGGGTCTGGGCTATGCAGACCCTCCCTAGCCAGCTGCAGCAGTGCCTCCTGCCAGCACTCCCTTTCCCCACACCATTCCCACTGCTGAGGTTGAAGCCCTGTGGGGCAGAGGAGGAGAGAGCTGCAAGCAGGGGGAAAGCAGGGTGCTGGAACTCCTCTGACCCGCTGCCAAATGTCTTCTTTAGCATTTTGGGGGTGGGCAGAGGATGGTGGGAGCACCCTCAGGGCTCTGTGTGGGACGGAAGGAAACAAAGATGCAGCTGCAGGCAGTGGGCTCTGGGCTGGAGCAGTGCAGCCAGGCATGGCACAGCTCACAATTTGGGCACATGGAGGAAGCCTGTCCAGTTGAGGGCTGCAGGGCTGTCCTTACCAAGGATCCTACAGCATCTGCTCAAGCTCTTCCCACTGCAGGAGCTCAGAAGTGACAACAACCCCGACCCAAACAAGGCATGGCAATACACACACAGATACACCTGTTACAGAATGTGGCACTCTGTAGTCCTCCCAAAGCTTGTTACTGCTTTTCAGGCTGTTCTGCAGGTATCCTGTCCTTTCCCTCTTCCTTCCCCCTCTGCCTTGCCCTCTTCCCTCCCTCCATGCTTCCTCCCTGCATCAGCCCAGTGTTCTGCTGCTAATGTCACCTGACAACAATACAGAACACCTTTCCAACACACCGAGTCAGACTGCATACCACCACTGATCTAAAAAAAAAGTAAAAAAAAGGAATATATTACATATTAATAACAAACTCCTACCTGCTTGAAGACCAATGGCAGCTTCTCATCTTGGAGTAATTCCTGAGCACAGCCTGGACTCCTGGGTTCAGCATCAGCTGTGGCTCTGGGATATTGGATCTGAGTCTTCAACTTCCACCTCAAGATGTAAAGTAATTCAGGACTCCGAAAAGCATCTGACTGTTCCTTTCAAAATAAAATCTATTAGGAGAAAATACAAAAATAAAGGTGATGAACATCAAACAACAATTCTGGATAAAAATATGCTGCAAATTGGAGGCCAGCTTTAGGGTGCCCAGCACCTCCCTTCTCACTGTGCAAATTCACTCATTTCCTTTAACTCAAAGGCATCTGTGGTGTTTGCTGTGTTTAGAGGGCATTGCTCTGAGAGTGCCAACCTCAGAACAACACTGTGTCCACCCAGGAAGCTCTTGTGAGCAATCTTTGTGGAGGGAGCAACCTGAGGCTTCCCCCTGTATGTGTCAGGGTCATGAGGACCCAGGAATGGAATACAGAATCAGAGAGTCACTTAGGTTGGAAATGACCTTAAAGATCACTGAGTCCAACCATGGATCCCAGATGCCAAAGGCTGCAATGTGAACATCGAGGCTTTCTTTCTCACCAGAAGCACAACAGGGCAGCCCTGCAGCTTCTCCTGCCCAGAGCACTCCCAGCAAAGCATAAAGAAAGGACATTGCTCCAAGCAGTGTGAAGAACCGCCGTGCAACTGAGTGCAACATCAAACACAGCCAAAAGCATAGAAATTACTGTGTTTGCCACTCTCCCTTATGGCTGAGGGAACACAAAGCAGTCTTCCAAGTCTGGGTAGGCTTTTTGTCAGTGTGTTGTATCAAATGAATGTAATCTCAGCATTTTAATCCAATGAATGATACTCCCTGCAGCAGTGATGCCTCTCCTGTTTGGCCACAACCTGTGATGTCTTCTGTCAATGGCACTTAATGAGTCTGAATGAATCACAGACACTAAAAGAACTGTGAAAAAATGCCTCCTCCCTTTATTCACTTCTGTACTTTCAGTTTTGTGCTTAACTTTTATGAGCTTCTCTGTCCAAAGTATTTTTTTATAGAGCTCTGAATGGAACTTATGTGTGTCACACAAAAATGGAGGTGCTGGCAGCACTCCAATGCACATGTCAATGAAACTTGGTGAAACATAACTTCATGAAATGCAGAATGAGCGGAGCTGACACTGTGACTGCAATGGGTTTACAGGGGTAACATCTAGGTAAAATCACTGCAGCACTTCACAACTTCATTCTGACACCAAATTGAAGGAGAGAAGCTGAGAAACTTAACAACAAAGCTTTGTCACCATTCAGGCAGGGGCTCTTCGTTAACTGTGAAGCACTGTGGATATTTCCACCATAAGCACTTCAAAGATGGCATGATTCAGAACTCATTATATTTCCAGGGATAGTACATATCAATTACCTGTGAGATAATTAAGATATACATGCCTATCTTAGGCAGTGATTTATGAGGTTTCCAGTCTTCTATTCCATGATCTCTTCTACTGCTCAGTGTCCTTTCAGCACCACGACAGCCCCATTGACAGCCTTTGACTTCATCCAGGACTCTTCTTCACTCATCCTAAAGGTGAACTTCCTTCACTGACACACACTTGGTAGAAGAATGCCAATTACCTGTAATTTATAGATACCAAAATCAGAACATTTGCTTACTCAGCACTCAGCCATTATTTCTGCACATCTGTTCGTCCTTGGATAGAGATCAGTTTGGCCATCTGTCTTTTGAAAATCTCATGAGGTTCAATAAGGCCAAGTACAGGGTGCTGCATTGGGTCAAAGCAATCCCAGTACTGATACAGACGGGGGGAAGATCTCCTTCAGAGCTGCCCTTCAGAGAACAACTTGGGGGTCCCGGTGGACGAGAAGCTGGACATGAGTCAGCAGTGTGCACTTGCAGCCCGGAAGGTCAACTGTGTTCTGGGCTGCATTAAAAAATGCAGCCCAGAAGTGTGTGGCCAGCAGGGACAGGAGGTGATTGTTCCCCTCTACTCGGCTCTTGTGAGGCCCCATCTGCAGCACCACGTCCAGGCCTGGGGCCCCCAGCACAGGAAGGACATGGAGCTGTTGGAGCAGGTCCAGAGGAGGGCACTGAGATGGTCAGAGGGCTGGAGCAGCTCTCATGTGAGGAAAGGTTGAGGGAACTGGGATTGTTTGGCTTGGAGAAGAAAAGGCTGTGGGGAGACCACATTGTGGCCTTCCAGTGCTTGAAGGGAGCATATAAACAGGAGGGGGAACGGCTGTTTGTGAGGGTGGATGGTGATAGGACAAGGAGGAATGGCTTTAAAGTGAGACAGGAGGTTTAGGCTGGATATGAGGAGGAAGTTTTTCAGCCAGAGGGTGGTGAGGCACTGGAACAGGTTGCCCAAGGAGGCTGTGGATGCCCCATCCCTGCAGGCATTCAAGGCCAGGCTGGATGTGGCTCTGGGCAGCCTGGGCTGCTGGTTGGCGACCTGCACACAGCAGGGGGTTGGAACCAGATGAGCACTGTGAGCCTTTGCAAATCAGGCCATTTCGTGATTCTGTGATATTAATGCCATATAGCAGGGCATGCTATAGCAAGAGCACACAGAGCAGCACCTCCACACTGCCTGCTGCAGTAACAGCTCAGCTTTGTGTGGCAGTTGCAGGTTCTTCTGGGACTCCTTTTGATGCCGGCTGAGCTGTTTGTGCCATTTCATTATTGTTTCATTTGCTGAACATCTCTCGTTAGAGCAGAGCAGCTTTGCAGTCTGCAGTGCCACATCCAGAACCTCACAACACCTAAAAGCTGTTACAGCAAGAAATAATCACATAATGCAACAATTCAACAGCGCTACTTCTAAAATGTGCTACTACAACGTATCGTGTATTTACTTCTTCAAATCAACGCCCTGGGCCGTAACTGCAGCGCAGCACAACCTGACCGCGCTCCGCCCTCCATCGCCCCGTTCTGCTCTCCTTCCATTCCGCGCCCGTTGCCACTCGGCACGAGACGCTCCCGCCTCCATTAGCTCCCGGCACCACGTGACCCGGCACCACACTCCGGGTGAGAGAAACGCGGGAATGCAAAACTGCGCTGCGGAGCAGAGTGAGGAACAGCAGCGCGTGCTCGTAGCCGTGCCCCACAGTACGGTTACAGACATACGCGTGATGACTGTTCTCATGCCTTTTCCGCTCTCCCTCGCCGCGCAGCACCGGACAGTGAGTCCCTCACTGCAGGGCAGTGCATTCCCTGCCCGTTTCACTGCGACGCTGCACGGACCGGAATGCGGCTACTTCCGCGTTTGTGCGCGCATGCGTTGTACTCCAGGAAGAACCTTTTACCATAGAGACTGGCTGCAACGATAAAGAAACGTCATTTCTGCGTTTCTCTCGCGCTCGCGTTGCTGCCTAGCGGACGGGTGACCATAGAGCTTGGAGGACTGACGACTGGAGCATGCGCAGTAGCGATTGGACTAGTCACCATAAAGCCGGAGGAAGGCGCGGCGCTGCGGTGTTCCATGCAGGTCGGCTCAGCGGTGCTGGGCGCGCAGGGGCAGAACCGGGTCGTTTCTGGGGTTCGCTTGGGCACGCGAGTCCGGGACGGAGACGAGAGCGCGCCGGAACAGATGGAGCTCCGGGAGCGGGAAGGCGGTGGACGCTGCTCGTCTGAGCTGCGGGGCTCGGTGCGGGAGCTGCGGGCAGATAGCGCTGCGTTTTTAAGGGATGCGTGGAGCGGCCGCTGCTCGCTGGCATTCGTTCTCTTAGAGCTGAGTGCATGTGCCAACCAGTATTGTGTTGATTCTGTCCTCGGGGCGTTTTCTCAGGGAGGATCTGCGGGGCAGCTGCTGCTTTACAGAAGGGTTGCAGCTGTTTTTGGATTTGCTCGGCTGCTGAGTGAGGATTTGGGAGTTTGTAGCGATTAAAGCTTTCTGTAGGCAACCAAATACACCGCAGAGCTCCCCGTGTCCCTTAGAGCCTCCCAGCACCACCCAGAGCATCCTCGTTGAGCTTCCTGGGGCAGTTGCCTTCCAGCCACTCAGACACCACCAAAGCAATCTGCTCCTCTGCTCCAGGCCCCACTGAGCCTTCCTGAGAGGCTTCCAAGGGCTCCCTGTAGACTACAACACTGGTGGAACCGAGTGCCCTCTGACCTGAAGGTCATTCAGAGCCCCGCAGTGAGCTCGACACGTCCCGGAGCTATTGGAGCACCTGGCCACTCAGCGCCATTCTCACCTCCCCCAGCTCCAACAGCACACATGCTGGGGCAGAGCCATCCATAGCTGTGCACTCACATCCCACCCTCCACTATCAGGAGCTGCACCCAACCACACGTCCCACCTCCAACAAAGACAGACATCAGCTGTAACGAATCAGGAAACTTTATACACTTGGCAGGGAGAGAGGTGTCCCAATCCACAGCTACAGCCCTCAGTTCAAGGGCAGCTGCCACCTTCCTGGCCATAGAGGTGCTTTTGCACCCCAAGAAAGCAGCACCATGGCCCTGCTCACTAAGGACCTATAGCTTGCAGCCCTCAGGTGTGGTGGCCTCCAGCTTTTATCACCACCCTCCCCAACTGTGGTAGCCCCCATAACTCACCCCACAACTGCTGTTGTCTCTATCTTAACCTCACTCTGCAACCACGTAGACTTCAATCTTAAGAAAAAAGTCCCTTCACCCCAAAACCATCTTAACTAAGGGGACTCCTTCCAAAACGCCCCCAATTCAGACTGCAGTAGCCCCTCCACGACCAAGAATAATCTCTGGAGCAGCTCCTCACCCCTCCATCCCCGAAGAGCCTCAGGCTGGACTTGCTGTGATCCACAGAGCTCCTGCAGCTCAGCCACACTGTTGGATGAGATGTGCAGCCAGCTGCCCCACATTGCACAGCACCATGGCAGCCCAAGGAGGCATCACATTGTGTTTCCTGGAAGACGGCACAGCAGAGCAGGCCTCAGGCAGCCTCCACTGGGAGCCCCCAGCTGCGGCCTCAGCCCAGGGTGCTGCAGGTGGAGCCCAAGCCCACCACAAGAGCTCAGCCAGCCACGTGGGTTCCCTCACTGCCTGCATAGTAGAGCCCTGCAGGGACAAACAGGTTTGCAGAGTGGTGGCCACCAGCCGTATGTGGCCACCATTATGGGCAGGTGGTCATGATCCCACCACCATGATAACACACCATGGTCAAACTGCAGGGGTCTGGTGCTGGACACCCAGCACAGGGCTGAGGGGATGTGGTGGGTAAGGGTCAGCTCCATGGGGGTCCCTATATGGCCTTGAGTGTACCATGACACCTCTACGTGTGCTTAGGGTCCTTCCATGGGTGTCTCTCTTCAAGTAGAAATCAGCCTTCTGGAAGCTTTCATGTAGCTGTGGGTTCCCACCATGAGTCCTACACCTAGCCTTAGGTTCCCACCGTAGGACCAAAGGATCCCCATGAGCAAAAGCTGCTCAGCAGAAGCTTCTATAGGGCCATGGGGTTCCCACCAGGGAGTCCTTTCACACAGGGCACAGCTCCTATAGGAGTTTCCATTGGGCCTTGGCATCCCCAGCATTAGGTTTTTGGGCTTGCCACAGCCAGGCTCTGCCTCCACAAAGTTCCCTGGCTTCAAGCATACCTTGACCTGCACGGTGATATTAAGCAGGAGGTGGAAGCCAGGCCTGGAGGGGTGCGGTGCACCATGGGGGAGCAGCGAATCCCTCTGGCAGCCCCAAAATATCCCATAAAACTACAAAGAGTAGGAAGACGACAGGAACTGGTGGGGTCTTGGCAGGGAGGCAGAGGATCAAGGAAAGGCATCTGCTTCCAAGATGGCCACTCTACCTCCAAAATGGCAGCGATGATCCCACATTGCTGGACAATGCAGGGGTTCCACCAGCACTCCAGAGGGCACTTCCTTGAGCTGCACAAGGCAGTGAGGCAGTACGAGCTTGGTCGAGGCCATGACATGGTGGGCTCAGCCACGGGGGGGCTGCAGGCCGGCAGAGAGAAAGTGCTGGGGCTCACCGGGCAGGACGGTGACCGGCAGCGGCGGAGTGGTGAAAGGACCCCACAGCGGAGTATGGGAAGCCAGCAGGGAGGCCCTGGGCAGATGGGGGCATTAGTGGGCACAGGGACATCCTGGGTGCCTAGAAAGCACATCTCCAACCCCACCTTGCACCACTCACCTGTGGGCCAGACTGGGGGTGAAGCCTGGAGATGGGGCTGTGGGGGAGAGGGGTGGGGTCAGAGGAGAGGGACAAGGCTGGAAATGGAATCAAGAGAGTGGTGGGGAAACCAAGGGCCGTGGCTGGGGAGTGGTTGTAGTGGTCAGGGATGTGAAGGAGAGGGGCTTTGGGCAGGGGGCATGGCTACAGGCACAGGAATAGAAGGGTTGGGCTGTAGGAATGCAGAGATGGGGATGTAGTGTGCAGCCAAAAGGAATGTGGTTTGGGAGCCTGGTGGTGGGCACAGCTGGGAGAGGAGGCGGCACGTGCAGCAGGTTTGGGGGCTCACCCAGCCACGTCGGGGTGCTGCTGGCCGAGGGGAACTCCAGTGAGGCCAAGCGGCTGTATTATGGAGGGGGAGCACGTTTGAGGGGAAAAGACACAAATCTGAGGGTGTCCTCCCGTTTCTGCAATAGGGCAATCTGGGGAGCTCTGCTCACCTCACCACCTGCCCACTGAGCTGCTGCCGAGGCTGTGGGGTGACTAGAGCAGACAGAGACCTTTTAATAAAGTTCCTCTTGAAATTGGGGGGAAACAGGTAAAATTAGGGGGGGCTCTACCTGTCGTTGCTGGGGAAGTAATGCCAATGGGCCGAGGAGTGCTGCTCCTGCATGGAGAAATGTGGGGTGCTGATCGTTGGACCCTATCCCTTTTCCCAAAATTACAATGCTAGGGGCTCACCTGCTCGACCGCCAGGTAGGGGAGACCTGTGGGAAGAAAAGGAGTTAAATTAGGGAAAATTGGAGTAAAATGGGGAGAAGTACTGGGGAGAGGGGGCAGAAATGAAGGGTTAATTTGGTAAAAGAGGGTGTTAAATGGGGAAAAATGGGTAGAATGGGTAAAGGGGGGCTTAAATCTATATCTGTCTAAAGGGGGCTATAAGGATGGGGACAGATTCTTTAGCAGGACCTGTTGCAATAAGACAAGAGGAAATGGTTTCAAACTAAAAGAGGAGAGATTTAGATTGGATATAAGGAGGAAGTTTTTTTACAATAAAGGTGGTGAGACACTGCACAGGTCGCCCAGAAAGGCAGTGGTACCCCATCACTGCAGACACCCATGGGCAGGGGATGGGGCTCTGAGCTATGGGTGTCCCTGCTCAGTGCAGGGTGAGGGACCAGGTGACCTTTGAAGGGCCCTTCCAGACCAAAAGATTCTATGATTCTAAACAAAGAAAAATAGGGAGCTAAATAAGGAAAAATGGAAGGCTAAAATGAGAGAGGTTAAATGAGGAAAAAATTAAGAGTTAATTATAGAAAAAATGGAGGTTAACTGAGGAAAAAAGCCAGCTTAAGTTATGGGAAATGGTGAGCATCAAACAAAGAAAAAAAGGTGACCTCAGCCTCCCGCAGGTGCCTCCGCAGCTCTCCGTTCTCCCTCCGCAGCGCCTCTGCTTCCCTGTGGGAAGTCTGAGTGAGGCTGGGTTTGGGCACAGGGCATCCCCAGGCAGCAGCACTCACCTCTGCTTGGAGTCCAATGCCCGTCGGGTGTCACGCAGAGCCGCCTCAGCCCGGCGCGCTGTGTCACGGTGGGAGGCAAGCAGCAGGTCCACCTGTGCCTGCTGGAAGCGCCAGGCCTAAGGGGAGAAACTTGGGGTTCATTGTGCTTTGGGGGTGTCTACAGATGATGGGGAGCCCCCTGGGTGTGCTCACCTGGGAGATGTGTGCCAAGCGCTGCCGGGCAATGGCGGCGGGGCTCTTTAGGAAGAGTGTCTCCTCCAGCTGTAAGTGGGGGAAGTAGGGGGAGAAGGATGACATGGCCAGGTGCCTTCAAAGTGGCAGCCCAGTGAGGTACAAAATGGCAGCCTCTGGTTGTAGGGGGAAGGGTGTGACAAAATGGCAGCCTGCAGATGTGCGTAAGTGAAGAGGGAGGTGCAAAAGGGTGTCCTATGAGTGTGCGGAGAAGGGAACTGAAACGGACCCTTCCAGGTGTGCTGGGACCAAATGACGGTCCTGGGGGCACTCACCTGCTCGGGGATGGGGAAGCGGCGGCACGCAGCAGCACAGATGGGGCACGGCCCTGTGGTGTGGGGAGGAGGTTGAAGGCCCACACGTGATGGCAGGTAGGGCCCAACCCTCACCTCCCCCAGAACAGCCCAGCCTGCAGCCATCGGGGCAGGACGGAACTGTGGTTATTTGGGGGGCTAAAAGAGGTGGGCCTCTCCATGCCTCCATTCTGTGTGGGCTGGAGATTCGGGTGGGCGTTTTGTGAGGGTAAAAGTTCCCCAACTGTGGGGAAGGAATACGGAGTCCTTCATCGCCACCGCTGTGTGGGGCTGAGGCCCGGGGGGGCCTTTGCTGTCATTCTATGGGTCAGGACTTGGAATCTCCTTTCTGCTCCGTTCTGTGAGGGGCTCTGCGGGGATCCCTACCTGCACCCAGGCAGGCCTCGCACAGGACGTGCCCGCAGCTGGTGACGGAGAAGCGGGCGCCTTCCTGGCGGTAGCAGCGATTGCAGTGGAACCAATCCCCGGCGGGGGGGGCCGCCATGGGGGGGGGGCGGAGCTCCGGGAAGGGCGGGAAGAGCCTGAGGGAAACCGTTAAAAGGGCGGGAAAAACGGGAGCGGCCGTTACGGGCGCGGGAAGCGCCCGGCTGTGTTATGCTGTGGGGCGCAGTGGTTTTAGTGCCATTAATGAGACTTCCCGAGCTTTCTCTTCAGTAAAAGTTTATTCCCGTCCGTGAGCGGCTGTCGCGAGGTCCTGCCCGCCCCTCAGGTGCCTGTGGGGAGAAGTGGCCGTTCGAGCGGTGAGGTGAGCGGCGGCCCCTCGGAGCACCGCGGCGGCCTCACCTCCTCCCCCCGGCCCGGGCCCGGCGTCCGCCTTGTCGCAGGAATGGGCTCGCTGCCTCCGCTGGGGCTTCGGGGGGGGCAGCTGGCGGCTCCTGTCTGAGGTCCCTGCGAGAGAGACCTCCGGCATCCCACAGCGCCCCAAGAACGCCGCCTGAACCCCTTCGGCATCCCAGCGCGCCTCCGGATCCCCACCGCCCCCTCCCGCTATCGCTGGGTCTCACGCAGCCCTCACCTGTCGGAGCAGTGGGCGTGGCCTCCTGGATGGCCCCGCCCCCTCTCTCACCGCCGTTCTGCGGGGGCCACGCCCCCATCCTGGGCGGGGCCTGGAGACGGGCGGAAGGCGGAGCCTGCAGCGCTGAGCCCCGCCGCCAGGGCTGCTGTCCTCCCGGCGGTGGGCGGAGCCTGGCCGACCCCGTGCTGCCACTCACCTGAGGGGGCGGGGTCTGTGGGGAAGTAAGCCCCACCCACTCCAGCCCGGGGCTGCCAGCTTCTGGAGGGGCTGCAGTGGGAAATGTGAATTAAAGACACGTTTTTGAGGAAGAAAAATAATTTTGGGGAGGCTGTTCTTCGTGAAGAGGGTTCTGAGGAAATCCCTGACCTTATGGGAGGATTCAAGCATCATGGGCAGCTTTTGGCAGGAGGAACCCACCTGATGCCTCTGAGTGTGGGCTGCAGCTGTGCTCCTGGGGGTAGGGAGGCACTGTGGGGGGCAGCCTAGGGGCGACACAGACCGTGTGACCCGCAGGAACCCTCCTATTGCCCCCTCAACTCCAGTTACCCCTCCAGGATCACAAATTAACCCATTACCTCTACAAGACTTTCCACATTTACCCCTTCTAAAGCCACAATTACCCCATTTTTGCACACCATAGCACCAGAAGACCTCAGCTGCACCCTATGATCCCCAGTTAACCCCTCATGATCCCCCTGCAGTATTCCCAGTTGCCTTCTCCTGGACCCTAATAGCTTCCCTCTCCCCCTAGCTCCCATTGATCCCTCCATCACCACCATGGGAATACCCCCTTGCACCCCAATCCCTCACCCCCAGCTCACCGGCCAAACTCCTCCTGCTGGGGGGAACCCCCCACCGCCTGCGCCTCCGGGGCCCTGAAGTGCTGGGGAAAGGAGGAGCACTGTGCCTTTAAGGAAGGCCACACCCATTTCCCTGGGGGGGCGGAGCCTCGAAGGCCGGGGATAAGATATTGGGGGCGTGGTCAGGGGACTTTAAGTGGGTCTGAGGTCACAGGGAGAGGCCACTGGGCGGTGGGTGTAGCCAAGGGCAGGAGATGGGGCTGCAGACAGGAGGCAGGGCCACAAGTTGGAGGCGTGGCCATGAAGTACTGAGCAGAGGGGTCTGTGGGGGGCTATGTGGGCGGGGCTATGTGCCTGTGGTTACAGCTAGGGGTTGGGGGGCGGGGCTGTGGGATTGGGGGTGTGGTGATGTGTCCGCAGGCATGTCCAGCAGTGGCCATGGCTACGAGCCTAAAGACAGCACCTATAGGACAGGCTATGGGGCTGTGGGCGGGGTTAGGGACTAATGGACAGGGTTCGGTCATGGTGGGCAGGGCTACTCACCAGTGGGTGGGGCTTGGGATCCCCCTCAGAGCTCCTGGGGGGCGACGGTGACTCCAGGCCCTCGGATTGGCCTGGGGGCAGTGACATTTGCCATGATGGGTAACAATGCACTACGACGTTCAGTGAGAGGTGATGGTGCATGACCATGCAGGTGCTCACCCATGAAGGCAGAAGGCGGGCGGGTGCGGCGGCAGCAGCGCCTGTGCCGCTGCAGCGTCGGTGCATCCTCCAAGGGAAGAACCCAAAAGCCCTTTGGTTTCATCTCAAAATTGTCACGTGAATCCAACACCCTTAAGTACACCCAAATTCACAGGAGACCTCCAAAACTGCTTAGCTTCACCCCCCATGTATAAACTTCCCCAGATCCCCTGCCTTCCTCCCAAAACTCTCATGGCACTCAAAACATGCAGTGGAGTCCCCAGAGCCCACGGACTCCACCCAGATCTCCCCTCTGATCCACCCCAACACCCCAAAACTGCATGCCCCCCGGATTTTGGATGTCCTCCCCAACTTTTGCCCTTCTTCTTACAACATCAACGCCCAGCTCCTCATCGGTGCTGTTCGATGGCTCCTGCCCCTGGGGACTCCTCGGATCCTGCAGGTGCTGGGCCTGGAGGCACATGGGGGGATTTTAGAGGGCTGGAGGATATTAAAGGGTTTTGGACCAAAAGAGTGTTGGAGAACATCAGGAGATGTTTGCGGATCTCAATGGTGTCGGAGGACCCAAAAGTTGCTGGATGACTGGGAGGATGCTAGAGGACTTTGGGAGATTGGAGCACACCACAGAATGTAAGAGGATCTTGAAGGGTGTTGGAAGACCCAAAAGGTCTTGGAGAGTCTCAGGGGGTTGGAGGTCTCCAGGGGATGTTGGAGAACCCAATGGGTATTGGAGACCTCAGGGAATTGGAGAACCTTGGAGGGTGATGGAGTACTTTGGGGGCTCACGGAGGACCAAAGGGCTGTTGGAGGATGGGAGGGACTCACCAGTGCTTGGTGGACACGGCGTAGCTCCCGCAGCAGCTCAGCCACCACTGCCTGGGTCAGGGACGTCACCAGTGCCAGCTGCACCTCCCTGACCACAGGAACAGTTGGGGTGGTAGCAGCACCAGCACCCCTTCTAGTGCCCACCAGTGCCCTCCCAGTATATTTCAGTGCACCCTAATCCCCTCCCAGTGTTCCCTGATCTTCTTCTAGTCTCCCACACATTCCTCCCATTATGTCCCAGTGCCTCCCAGCTCCCCTCAGCACTCCCCCAGCAACTGTCAATGCCCTCCCTGAATATCTCAGTGCCATTTCAGTATATCCCAGTGCCTCTCTGTACATCCGACTATATTCCACTATATTTCAGCGTCCTGCCAGTATGCCCCACTTGCTTCCAGTACACCCAAGTGGCTTCCCAGTGTTTCACAGTGCCCTCCCAGTCTTTGAATTTATCCTAGTTCACCCCAATGCTCTCCCAGTACATCCTAATCTATCCCAGTCCATCCCAGTGGTTTCCTGGTATATCTCAGTGCCTTCCCAGTCATTTTTAACACCGTCTCAGTCACCATGACTATCCCAGCACTCTCATTACGTACACTCCCACTCATTTGCAATACATCCCAACGTTCCCCCCTGCCCTTCCAGCGCCCTTCCACTACACCTCGCTCCCACCCATCCCAGTATGCCCAGTCCCCCCGTGCCCCCTTACCCCAGCTGCTCCCGGATCTCCTCCCCTGCCCGCTCCAGCAGCGCCCCCGGGGCCAGGCCGGGGGGCAGCGGGGGGCGTGGCCGAGGCGCCCCCCCGAGCCACGCCCCCCCGGGCCACACCCCAGCCGCCGTCGCCCGGGGGCAGAGCTCGGCGGCCCGACCCAGCAGCGCCTCCAGGAGCACCTGGGGAAGGGGATTTCCGGTTGGGAGGGGTACTTCCGGTGAGGGGACCCCCACCTGGAAGGCCCCTCCCTTCCCGATTGGGGTTTTGGCCACGTTTGAAGGCCTTCAGCATCCCCAGTTCCTCCAGTTCCCTCCCAGTATCTCCCAGCTCCTTCTCTGCTCCCTCTCAGCCCCTCCTTCCCTCCCTCCCATTCCATCCCAGTCCCTCCCAGTGCTCCCCAGTTCCTCCCAGCTCCCTCCTTGTCCTTCCCAGTCCTTCCCACGCCTCTCATTCCCTCCCACTCCTTCCCAATTCTCCAGCAGACTCCTCCCAGTTCCCCCAGCGCTCACCTCCAACTCCTTGTCCACAGCCTTGGCCACGTCCCCAGCCACGCCCTGCAGGAGGAGCTGCAGCGGCCCCGCTCCGGCCCCTGCCGGTCCCAGCGCTGCCAGGCTGGGGAACAGCTGGGGGGTCACAGGGTCAGGGGGGTGTTCACACGGCCATGAAGTCGTAGGAGATCACGGAGTCGTGGAGGGGCATGGAGGTCATAGAGGTTATGGAGTTCAAGGGGATCGTGGCAGTCGTGAGGGTCATGTGAGGTCATGGGGTCATGTGAGGTCATGGGGTGATGAGATCTTGGGGTTGTGGGGAGTAACCGTAAAATGGTTGGAAGGAAGCTTAATGATCATCCAGCCCCACCCCTGCCCTGGGCTGCGTGTCCCCCAGCTCGGACTGCCCATCCATGGCCACGGGCACCTCCAGGGATGGGGCACCCACAGCTCCAGGCAGCTGCGCCGGGCCGTTCAAAGTCACTCCCCTTCCTGTTCACAGGCTCCGTTTGAGTACCGGAATGCCGCAGCGCCGTCTCCCCGCAGCCGTCCCTTCTCTAGGCTGCACAGCCCCTCCCTCGGCCTTTCCCCACATGCAGCTGCAGCCCCCGGCCATCCCCGTGCCCTCCTTTGGCCTCGATCCCGTAGCCCCGCGGCCCGGATGGGGCTCCCAAGGGCGGACAGACGGGACCTATTCCCTTCCCGCCCCACCGCCCCTCCGTCGGTGAAGCCTGGGCTACGGTTGCCTTCAGGCTGCTGGCACTCAGCACTGGATCCGGCTTTTCACTCCCCAGGACCCCCAGGTCCCCCTCAGCAGGGCTGCTCTCAAGCTGTTCTTCTCCCACCCTATACTCACAGCTGCAATTGCCCCAACCCAACAGCTACACTTGGCCCTGTTGACCCTCATCCAGTTCACACGTGCCCACTTTTTGAGTCTGTCCAACTCCCTCTGGATGGTGGCATCGACATCCTTTTGTTTTGTCACTGCAGCACTCAGCATGGGGTCATCACCAAACTGAGGGCACACCAATCCCAACATCCAGTCACTGATAAAGATGTTCAGGCACACTGCTCCCACAAGGACCCCTTGGGAACACTATTTGTGAGTACCTCCACCTGGACACAGAGCCACTGCCCACAGCCCTCAGGCTGCAGCCGCCCATGGAATGGTGAAATCCATATCTTCCCATACGAGAGATGTGATGTAGGCTATGCCAGCAGCCCTGCAGGAGTCCCAGCAGATGACACCATCAGTCACTTTGCATTGGTCTGCGGCAGCCATCGCTCCATCACAGAACGGCACCAGGTGGGTAAGGAATGACCTGCCCTTGGGGAAGCCGTGCTGTCTCAGATCACCTGCTCAGCCCTCACGTCCCTGAACACCTCCCACAGCAGGATCTGGATCCAGCAGGGATTGCACACATTCGGTCTCATCGGGTGTTCTCAAACCTGCTCCTTGATTGCAGTGGAGGGACTTTGCTCCCCCACCTCCACCTGGAGAGATGTGTGAGACGTGGTTGCCAGTGAAGCCTGAGGCAAAGAATTCATTGAGTGCCTCAGCCACCTCCGTGTCTGCTGTTGCCTTGGCCCCCTTCTCATCCATCACAGAGGGTATATTCTTCTCAGCCTGTTTCTTCTGACCAAGGGACCTGTAGAATCCCTTCTCATTATCTGCCCCACCTCGCCCAGTGCAGCTCCATCTGTGCCATGGCTTTCCTGTGTACCGTGTACTCTACCCAGGGCACCCATCCCTGCTCCTACTGCCTGTGCATTTCCCTCTTCCTCCTCAGATGGGAGGTTATAGGGTCATGGGGGGAGAGAGGGGGAGGTCATGGGAGGTCATGCAAGGGGTCAAGAGAGTCATAGAAGTCATGGGACAACATGGGAGGCCATAGGAGTGATGGGGGTCATGAGGTTATGGGGTCATGGGAAGTCAAAGAAGTCACAGCATATCATAGTTCATGGGAGATCATAGGGGTCCCTGGGTCACAGGGGAGCAGTGGGATTCATAGGAGGTCATAGGGATCATGGGGGGGGTCACAAGGTCATGGTGAAAATTTGGGACCTATGGGGGCTGTCAGCACCCCAGGGCTGTTTTTGTGGTGCTAGAGGAGATCTCATTTGGAGGGGTCTCATTTTTGAGAGGAAGAACACTGTTTTGGAGGGTGGCTTGGGATGGGGTTTGGGAGGGCTTCTGTTTTTTGAGGAGGAGTTCTATTTTTATCAGGCTGGGGGGAGATGTTTCAGCTTTGGGAGGAGATGCTTCATTTGGGGAGATATGCTTTAATTTCTATAAAGATTCTGAGTTTTTTAAGGGTTCTCTTTATTTGGGTGGGAAGCTTCAATTTTGGGGTGATATGTTTCTATTTTGAAGGTGATGCTATTTTGGGGGGATGTTTCTATGTTTCTGAGGTTCCTTGAGGGGGAATGCTTCAATTCTGGGGAGGAGCTTCAATGGGGGAGTCGGATACTCCAATTCTGATGGGCATGGAGGGGTTTTCTGCAGGGTTCCTGGGTGCTTTGGGGGTTCAATTTTGTGAGGGAAATACTTCAATTTGGTGGTCATATGCTAAAAATCTGGGAGGGGGGATGTTGGGGTCCTGTGGATGTTCCTGAGGTTCTTTGAGGGTTCTATTTGTGGGGGGGGGGGGGGGGGGGGGGGGGGCGTCATGGTGGGGGGCGGGGGGGGGGCGGGGGGGGGGGGGGGGGGGGTGGGGGGGAGAAGATGCTTCAATTTGGGGGTCAGATGCTGTGCTTGCGGGTGCGGTGCTGGGGATTTTGGAGTGTTTCAGGGCTATCTTGGGGCACGCAGGCTCCCATTGGTCTCTGTTGGGTATATGCTGTTGGGGTGCTCACCGCACGGGCGTTCCTGGCTTCCCGCAGCAGCTCCTGGGCCTCTGCAAGGTCCCGCTGTGCCCCTGGGTGTCCCCGCAGCCCCCGCGCTGCCGCCTGCACTCGTCCGCTCAGCCGGCAGAGCATCTGCAGCACATCTCCTTGGCAACAGCCCTGACAACCACTCCGGCAACTGGCAACCATCCCGGCATCCCCTCAACAACTGCCCCCATCACCTCAGCAACCTCCACAGCAACTGCCCCAGCACCTCATCAGCAACACCTGCCATCACCCCAGCAACCACCCTAGCAACCATCCCAGCAACCCTCCCATTGCCCCAGCAATCAGCCCAGCATTATGTCAGGAATATTTCACATCACCCCAATAACCACTCCAGCAGCCACCCTGCAACTGCTCTGACAATCTCTCATCTTGGCAACCACTCCAGCAACAACAGCAGATTCTGCTCTTATTGCCCCAGCAACTGCCTTGGAAACCACCAAGGCAATCCCTCAGCAACACTTATAATCACTCCAAAAGCTGCCTAGCAACCACCCCAGTAACCACCCAAGCATCCTTCTGGCCACTATCCCGTATCCCTGTCACTTGCCACATCTGCCCCATGGCTGCCACATATTGGCCCCACATCTGTCCTCTCCTGCCCCACAAGTGTCCCCAGTCCCCAGGTTCCCCATGCCCCTGGGGAAAGATTACTTGCTCAGCCGTGCTGGTGACAATGCCCCGCTGCAGCCGGAGCACCTGCTCTGGTGGCACCTTGGGACCACGGCCATTGCGTAGGAGGCACCACTGGATCTTGAGGAGGGAAATCAGGATGCCTGAGACTCCCAAACACAAATTTTTGAGAATCCCCAGGTGCCTCCACTGACCTGCTGCCAACCACTGTCTGTCCGCTCCGGGGCACTACGGTAGGCTGCTGTGAGGTCACAGAGAGGAAGGGCCATGAAGGTCAATGTGTGGTTGCTGTTGAGAGGACATGGATCTGCTAGGGATTTCATTGACAACATACAGCAGTTTGATTCGTCAACAGCTGGTTGATCACTGTAGAGCCGGTTGACCACATTGGATCCCACCAACTGATTTGAAATGAGTTGACTGGTTTAAAGATGACTGACCAGTCTAGAGATGGTTGCCCAGTCTAGAACCAGTTGACTAGCTGAGATCCCATTGATGTTTTGGAAAAGTTGACTGCTCTGAGATGGTTGTCCAGTCTAGACATGTTTGACCAGTCTAGAAGCAGTTGAGTGGTTAGGATCCAATTGACAAGTTTGGGATGGGTTGTCTGATCTAGACATTGTTGACCAGTCTAGAAACAGTTTACTAGTTGGGAACCCACTGACTTGTCTGGGATGGGTTGCCCAGTCTAAAGATTGTTGACCAGTTTAGAACCAGTTGGTAACCTATCAACCTGTATGGAATAGCCAGTTGCACAGTCTAGAACTGACAAGTAGGTCCAAAAACTGGTTGACCTGTCTGGAGATCCAGGTATCATGTCCAGATCTGGTTGGTTGTTTGAACCTGGTGTTCACATGCTCCAGATGGGGCATCCACCTGCAGAATAATTTGCTGCTGGTCCCACTCACCTCTCCATGGCCCTGGCGATGTCCTGGAAGCCCACAGCTGTTGTATTGTTCCTGTCCCAGCTGAGGCTCCTGCCATGGGACCACAGGTGACATCGGGGTGGAGAGACCACCCCTGAACCCCCTGTGAAACCACCCACCCACCGCAGAGTGCTGTTGATCTGCAGGGCCTTGGCCAGCATCTTGGCACCCATGTCTTCCATGAGGTTACCACTGAGGTCCACTTTGGCCAAGCAGGCATTGCTGCCCAGCGCATTCACCAGGATACAGGTCCTGGCCTTCAGCCTCGATTCAGCCACTGACAGCGACTGCAGGGACTTCCGGGAAGGGCAGAGAGGACATGAGACGGGGGCCTGGGGGATCCACAGAAGTGGATGTCCACCTGCCACCCCACCGTCCCCTGGGGAACTCACACAGTCGTCCTCCTGGATGACCTGGACCAGCTTGTGGAGAATCTCCTCCAGTGTTCTGAAGGGGGGAGAAAGAACAGTGGGACATGGACACAATCTGACCCATGGGGTCTCAGAAGATGTCAGTAAGAACTCGGGTGGTCTTGGTGGACCTCCATGGGCACAGCATGGCCCATCAGGTCTTGGTAGGCTTCCATGACACGGCTTTGGCCATTAGGATCTAAGTGGATCTCCTTGGACTCCAACAATGGTTCTGTTTACCTCCTCCAGGGCTGGTGGGGAGGAGGGCCCTCAGAAGGCCCTATGGAACCAGGGGGAGTCCAGCAGGGGCACTCACCGTGCCTTGACACTGAAGTTCTTGCCCAACCAGAGGTGCTTCAGGGCCTTGTTCCTCCCCAGGGCTGGTACGAGCGTCAGCAAATCAGCATCAAAGCCTGAGAGAAGTGTGGGGAGAAACTGGAGATAGTGGCAGGGTCCCAGGCCAGTCCCCAGGATGGGGTTTCTCCCTCTTCTCACCATTGTCTGAGAGGTCCAGGCTGCCCACGGCACTGATGCCCCCCAGCAGCTCCTCCAACACACGAGCCCCTGGCGAGCGGAGCTGTAAGATGGCACCAAGAATTGGACAGAGACATAAAATGATGTGAGGGGTGCCCACAAGGCCCCTCCCACCTTGGGCTGTGCCCCCCCCACCTCACAGCTGCTCAGGTCCAGGTGGAGGTCGCTCAGGTGGGTGTTGGCAGCCAATCCCTGCAGGAGAGACCTGGGGAGGGCAGGTCATGGTGCACTCACATCTCCATCTCCCCAGAAAGCAGAGGGCCACCCCAGGGGGCGAAGCTCACCTGAGAGCGTCAGGGGGCAGCCGCACGCCTGCCAGGCTGATGTGGGACAGAGCAAAGGTGCTGCAGAAGAACTGCTGCAGGGTGGGTGGGACCTCACGGGTCTTCCTGGGGAGAGGTGGAAGCAGGGTTCCATCAGCCTCACCCATCTGGGGTCAATCAGGCACTCCTTGCACCAACCAGTCAGACCAAAACTCAATTGAGCCCTTGGACACCCAACAGAGTTCTTGACCACCCAACATGGTACTTGACCACCCAATGGGGTTCCTGACCACCCAGTGAAGTTCCTGACCACATAACAGGATGTTCAACCACCCAATGGTGTTCCAGATAACCCAAGAGATTGGCCAGTTGGGTGCTCCAATGCCCAAAGGGGTCTTTCCATTATTCAACAGGGTGCTCAACTGCCCAATGGCATTTCTTGATTGGCCAATAGGGCACTCCAGTGCTCAGAGGGCTCTCTACCACCCAACGGGATGCTCTACCACACAGTGGGATGGCCATCCACCCAATGACATTCTGGACAATCTATCTGCCTTCATGACTGGCCAGTAGGGTACTCCAACTTTCAGAGGGCTCCCAACCGCCTCCCCAGGCCCCACCTGCCCCCTGCCCCACAGCCACCATCGACATGTGGGGCAGGAGCTGACCGGTGGCAGAAGCTGTTCCCGGCCACGTTGAGGTAGCTGAGCCGTGAGCAACAGCCGTGCAGCAGCGCCCCGAAGAGCTGGGAGGCACAAGGGGGCCATCAGCCCCACGACTGCCCCACGGCAGCCCCATGGCGACCCCACAGCCCCTCACCACATCAAGGGCGCAGTCAGTGGAAGCCAGGTCAAGGTGCAGGAGGGCGTTGGGTTGAGCCAGGAAGGCAAAGAGGTCCTGGAGGTGTGGAGTAGGGCCTGACCCCATGGCTGCTCCACAGTATAGCACTCAGTCCCATAGTACACCCACCCCATCCAGCCCCGTAGCACCCATCCAGCCCCATTGCATCCCATTGTACCCTGCCCAACACCCCCTCTCCAACCCCATAGCAACTTCTCCAGTCCCACAACTCCTGTTCTAGCCCATAGCATCCCCTCCAATGCCATACAGCCTATCCAACTCATAGTACCACTCCAGCCCCATAGCATATATCCAAACCGCAGTACCGCTCATTGACCTCCAGTGCCCCACAGCCCCATAGTACCCCATCCCTGCCCCATAGCACCCCATTCCCATCCTACAGTGCCGTGGGGGCTGCCCAGCAGCCCAGGATTGTGGCCCAGGTCCAGCAGTTGTAGGGCACTGCGGAAAGCGGGGTTTGCGCCCAGCGCCCGGCCCAGCGCCGCCAATCCTGTGAGGCAGGTGTGGGGTGCAGTACCCATGGAGGACACCCATAGGAACCCATGGAGGCACACAGAACCACAGCACACATAAGCATCCCAAAATTTCCATGCACAGCCCAGTATCCCCAGTGGACTCCCCAGAACCCAACAGTATAGATTGTATTCATTGTATTCATTGGCACCTCACAATCCCCATAGATACCCCAAAAAATATTTTGATACCAAAATAATCAGTTTCACACCAGTAACCTGTTCACATTTAGAGTGCTCCCCACTGCTGTAGAAGCATCCCAATAACACAATCTCCCCCACCAACCAAACTCAGTGGGCACCCCAACACATCCACGGACACTCCAATATCCTCATGGGGCTCCACATTACCCAGTAGATCTCCTTAACCCCATGGGCACCCCAAAACCTTATGGGGCATACCATTATCTAGAAGGCACTCCAATATTCTCATGGGCGCCCAAAACCCTATGGGTCACCCAATGGCCCCTTAATATTCTTACCCTTCCCTTATTCCCTCCAGTACCGCATACCCATCACACCCTCCCTGCTCTCAACACCCCCTGCCCCACAACACCGCACAGTGCCCCCAGCCCCACCTCGTGCCCCCAGGCCACAGTGGGGCAAGCGTAGCCGTCGCAGCCCCCCTGGCAGCCCCAGGAAGCGCTGACTCAGTGCTGCCAGGCCTGGAGAGGATTCCAAAATTGAGGGGGACCACAAAATAAGGGCAGACCCCAAAAGTTTGGGGAACACCAAATATAGGATCTGGGGGTGGGGGGAATCGAGGAGTCAGAGGACTTGGGGGCAATTTGGGGGATTTGTGGGGGGCAGTGGATGCTTTGGAGTGGAAAAGGGGAGTATGAGTTTCTAGGGGGATTTCTGGATTACCGTAATGGGATCTGGGGGACAACTAGGGGTGCAAAGGGCCATTTGGAGGAAGAATTCCTGGGGTGCAAGAAAAGGATTTGAGGTCTAATGGGGGAATTGGCGTGTTCTAGGGAGATTTTTGAGGTTCTATAAGTGGGTTTGCAATGCCACGGGGGGTTTTGAGGTACAGTAGGAATTCTGGGGAGCAGTGGGGATGTGGGGATCACCTTTGTCCCCCAGGGATCCGCGGGGCAGCTCCAGGCATCGCAGCGGTGGGTCCGGGTGAGCCGCCAGTGCTGCTGCCAACCGGGAGGCGAAGTCCCTTGGGGGGGAATGCCAAATTTGGGCACTTCAAACTCTGAAACAGCCCAAGCCCCCAAATCTCACCCTAACTCCCTCCAAACCCACCAGGATCTCACTCAAAACACAAAATCCACCCCAAATTCCCCTAAGGGCTTCCCCAAGTACTCCTCATGCACCCCAACCAAAAAGGTATCCAAATGCCTTAAATCCGATCCCGTGTAATTTCACCTCCCCGCAGCTAAGGGGGACATCTCCAATTTTGTACCCCTCTGAAACATCCCAGCACCCCATAGGATCCTCCCAAAAACCCCTCAAAATCTTCCCAAAACCTCCCAAATTCCACTTAGATCTTAGATTCCTCCATACTTAGGGTGCACCCACAAATTTGCAATGTACCAAATTTCATTAAACCCATACAATATCCCCTAACCCTAACCCCAAACCCTTAACAATCCCCCCAAATCAACCAAAATACCCACAGCTCCCTCCCAAATGTACCAATACCACCCTGAAAATCCCCTAACACCCTTAAAATTTCCCCCCTAAAAAGACAAAAATCCCCCACACGCTCCCCAAACCATTCAGATCTATCAAAAATGCCCCAAATCTCTCTAAACCCCCCAAAAATCAACCACAATCCCCCCAACTCCCACAGCAATGTCCCAAAAATCCATCCCTCCAAAAACCCCCCAAACCTCCAAAAATCCCCCAAATCCTTCCAGTATAGTCCCCCCAAGTCCCTCCAAGACCTCTAAAATCATCCCCCAAATTCCTCCAAAACCATTCTAATCCTCCCCCCTCAGGATCCTCCCAAAATCCCACCCTTTCCATTTAGGGTGCACACCCCAAGTCCCAAAGGAATCGACCCCAAGCATACGCGTTTAACCCCACATTGTCCAGGATCAGCTCCTCCAACGCAGGTGAGCGACGCACAGCATGCAGCACCTGTGCCTGCACCTCACTGCTCTGCACCACAACATGGGAGAGCCCAAAACATTGGAGACAGAACCCCAAAATGGGGAGCACTCTGAGAATGGGGCAGGGGCAGGGACCCAAAAACAACAGTATAGAGGGTTAAGGGAGTGAGGGACTCCTAAAATGATGTGGAAGGACAGGGGGAATCCCCAAAACTGTGGGGGCCCTGAAACTTGTGGGACCCCAAGACAGGATGGAGGAAGTTACGGGAACCCCAACACTGATTTTGAAATGGGAGTGAGGTGTTGGAGGACCCTGAAAATGGAGGGAACTCAGAAATGTGGCAAGAAGGCAAGCTGATGACCCCAAAGTGTGTGTAAAGGGACAATGGGTTCCCCCAAAATGGGGTAGTGGAGAATATGATTGGGGGACTCCAACAGTGTGGGTTTGGGAGGGGAGAAAGAAACAAGGGGATCCCAAAATGGAGACTATGGGGAGGTCCTGGATTTGGGGTACCCACCAGGCGTAGATCACGGCAGCACAGCCCCCGGAACCAGCGGTTGTAGCCCAATGCTGCCACTGCCAGTGCTAGCTCCCTGCATCAGTGCCATCAGTAAGCACCCAGAACTCCTCAGTGCCTTCCAGTAACCCTGAGCCACCTCCCGGCACTCCCAGTAAGCACCAGTGACCTCCCAGTGGTTCCCCACTGCCTTTCCAGTGTCTCCATGTGCTCCAGACCCCCTCCCAATACTCCTATTCTCCCTCCTAGTACCTCCCACTGTTCCCAAACCCCTTCCAGTGTCCCCATTTCCCCTTCCAGTGCCTCCTAATTGCCCCAAGCCTCTTCCCAGCGCTCCCAGTAACACCCATTCCCTCCCAGTGCTCCCAGTGCCACCATCACCGGCTCTCCAAGTGGCTGAAGTCCCTCAGGTCGAAGCATCTCCGCTCCCCCGCATGGTACAGCGTGTCCACGTCCTGGGGGGACCCCAAAACCCCCATAGCCCCCCAGAGACCCCCCCAGAGAAATCCATAGACCCCATAGACCCACCACCGACCCACAGGACCCCATAAACCCCTTAGAGCCTCCCAGAGACCCCCTAAGGGTCCCCGGAAGGACCCCAAGGATTCCCCAACAGCCCCATAGAGCCCATGTCCTCTGTCGACGCTGTCCTTGGTGCTGAACCCACAAACTACCATCAACCCCCCCCTAAAACCCCATGCTCTCTTTGCATCCCAAACACCTCCAAATCCCCCACATATATCCCCATAGATCCCTCAGGACAACAGAGACCACTTAGACCCCCAGTGATCCCCCAAGACCCCCCAAAGATTTCCCCATAGACCCCTTAAGGCCCCCTAGGAATGCCATAGAACCCCCCCCAAAGAGCTTCTCATAAACCCCATTGTCCCAACCAAAACAACCCACGTACCCTCTGAAATACTGCCTGTGTACGTTCTCTCAAAGGCCCCTAGGGATGCCATAAACCTCCCAAAGCCCCCCAGAGAACCCCTTAAAGCCACCCCCAGTGCCCTCAATTCCCGCCACACACCCACTGCACCTCCTCCCGGCAGCTCAGCCCGTTGTAGTCACACAGTGCCGCATAAGTGTCCGAGAAGCCCCCTGTGGGGGTTGGAGGGGAGAAGGCGTGGCCGATTACGCCCCCTCCCAAGCAACGCCCATCGGCGACAAGCCACGCCCCCCCAAAACCGCCCCTGTGTTTCACGAACACAAATACAGCCCCCGAGACCACGCCCATCACAGAGAACCCTCCCGTTGTGAGGCCACGCCCCCCCCCGTGACCACGCCCCTTCCGAGGCCACGCCCCTCACCGCAGACGCTGGGGCCGCTGGAGGCGGAGCTCTCCGAGGTGGGGGAGGTGTCGAGGGGCGGGGCCGGGGGGAGGGTCCAGCTGGGAGTGGGGACAAGCATGAGAGCCCCCCCCAGACCACCCGACTGGAATGTATTCAGTATTCCAGTGTATTCCAGTACATCCATTCCCGTCTCAGTTCATCCCAGTACACCCCAGTGACCATCCACCCCAGTGCCCTCCCTGTACATCCCAGTGCCCCCAGACCCTTCCCAGTTCATCCCAGTATAACCCAGTGCCATCTAATCCCTCCCCAGACTGCTCCCAGTATATCCCAAATCCCTTCCCTCGCCCTTCCGCCCTCTCCTAATGCCTCCCAGTCCCCTCCCTGTTCCCCCCACCGTCTACCCCAACCCTCTCCCAGTGTATCCCAAGTATGGCTCACACGGGGGGGGCACAGGGCAAAGCCCGCCCCAGGGCGGCTCCCAGCTCCCGGGCCAGGCAGGCAGCAGCAGAAGGGCTGGCAAGGGCCAGGGCCAGGGGACCCCGCTCCGTGTCCAGGCGCACCTAGGAACTGGGTGTACTGGGAGGCACTGGGAGGCATTGGTGGGGGGGTATTGGTAGAGCCCTGGGGGATTAAGGCTCTCTAATGGGAATGGAGGGGACTGGAGAGACTTGTACAAACTGGAAGGGCACTGGAATATACTGGGAGGGTGCTGGGAGGGGCGAGGAGGGCTTTAGGAGAGACTGGAGGTATACAGGGAAGTTCTGGAAAGACACTGGGATGCCTTGGAAGAAAAGCTAACATACTGGAAGACTGTGGGGATGGACATAGAACAGGACATGTCCTCAGAGGGACTGGGAGGCACTGGGATGTACTGGGAGGCCACTGAGAGGTGCTGGGAGGGCACTGAGGAGGTAGTGGAGGCTGACTGGTTCATACTGATCCATAATGGGAGGTAATGGGATATACTGTAAGGGCCTGGGAGGAACTGGAAGTCAGTGGATGGAGACTGGGCAGGCAGTGGAGGGCCACTGGTCCATACTGATCCATAGTGGGAAACATTATAAGGTAAAGGAATGACTTAAGGAGATCATTAGGGGGGTACTGGCAGTCACTGGAAGGGCACTGGGGCACACTGAGAGGGCTTGGCATGGTTCTGGGCAAGTAGTTGAGGGTCACCAGTCCACACTGGCTCATACTGGTCTGCACTGGGAGGTGGTGGGTACCTGAGTGGGGCTGGTGGCACTGATGCAGCGAATCTCCAGCACGCTCAGGGAACCTTCAGCCTGGTAACAAACAGCAATCTTTGTGCACATGGACACACAGATGGGCATGCAAATCCACGTGCAATTTCTCATGGAAATCTTTGTGCAAAGAGGTATGAAAGGGCTCAGCAGTATGAAAACCCTTCTGGAGGATGGACTCCATGCAAACCCTCGTGCATATATTTGTGCAAATCCTTGTGGAAATTATTGTGTGAACTCCCATCTAAGCCTTCATGTGAATATTTGTGCAAAAAGGCAGACTTGTGCAAACAGTTGCTTCTGTGAACCCTTGTGCAAATGCTCATAAAATGCTTGTGCTAGGGAACAGGATCATGCAAATCCTCATGTGGTTTCTCATGCAATGGGTTGTGCTGGGGGATGGACTCATTCAGATCCTCCTGAACATCCCTATGCAAATCATTCTGCAAATCCCCATATCAATCCATGTGAAAATTGAGCACATTTACTTGTGCAAATTCCCATGCAAGGGCTCACCTTGGCCGGTGTTGTGGGGCCGAAGAGGTGCAGGCGCCAGGCAGTGAGGGCCTGAGGGACAGAGGCTAGCACCCAGTGCTCCCAGTGCCTCCAGTAAGAGCTCAGACCTCTCCCAGTGCCCCCTGATGCTCCCAGTGATCTCCAAGAGCCCCCCATTTTGCCCACTTCCCCTCTCAGTGCCATCAGCCTCCCTCCCAGAGCATCCCATTTCCCCTTCAAGTGCTTCTGTTCTCCTTCCCAGTACCTCCCAGTGCCCCCAGACCTGTTTCAGTGTCCCTATTTTCAGTCCTAGTGCCTCCCAGTAGCCTCTGACCCCTTCCCAGTTCTCCCAATAACTCTTAGGTCTTTAATGGCAAATGTCTCAGACCCCCTCCCAGTATCCCCATTTCTACTCCCAGTACCCCGAGCCCGCTTCCAGCATTCCCAGTGCTTCCAATAACCCCTGATCCTTCTCAGTGCCCCCAGTCTCCCTCCCAGTGCCCCAATCCCCCTTCCATTCCTCTCATCCCTCCCAGCTCCCACCAGGATCCTCTCCTCCAGCCGACGGGGTTTGGTCTCCAGGCGGGCACGCAGCAGCAGGTGGATGCGGGGCCGCCCAAGGGCCCGGCGGATGCTTTCTGAATGGGGTTGGGGTTACGAGGGGAAGGATTCATCACAGTAACCTCCCCCCTCCCCCCCCAGCGCCCCCCTATCTGTCCCCGTCCCCGCTCCCACTGCCGTTTAGCGTTGGTTTCAGCACCACGGACAGCGCCCGATCCAGCGCCATGGACGCGGAGCTTTGGGGGGAAAGGAGGGGGGGTTGGGGAGCTCTAAGGGGGTTATGGGAGAGTCTGGGGGGTTATGGGGTCTGGGGGATTATGGCGGGACGTGAGGAAGCACGGAAGGGATCTGGGGGGGGAGGGTTATGGGTCTAGGGAGTTTATGGGGTGATATTGTACATTAGGGGCCTACAGAAGGGTTGTGGGTGTCTTATGGGATTACGGAGGAATGTTGTAGAGTAACTGGGGTGAGGTTATGGGATGGCCATGGAGGGGATCTGCGGGGAGAGTGGAGAGAAAAAGAAGGGGTGCTGAGGTGATGGGGGGGGTCAATGGAAGGGATTTGGGGATTATGGGGGTACAGAGGGTGATAGGAGGGCTATGGATGGAATATGGTGGCTCCATAAAAAGAATATGGATCGCTATGGGGTGATGGACGGGAGCACTGAGGAGATCTGGGGACGTATGCAGTGATTGGATGGGGGATGTGAAAGGATACAGGGTGAATTATGGGGGCCTCTAAGCCCAGGGGAGTTTATGGGGGATCGCACGCAGGGAGATATGGGGGAAAATGAGGGGAAATTGAGAAATCTGGGGGAAAATGAGGGATTCGGGTAGGATTTGAGGGGAAAATGATGGAAATTGTGGACGGATTTGTGGGGAAATAGAAGCATTTAATTGGGATTTGAGAGTAAATGGGGAGATCTGAGGGAAACGAGGGTGGGATTTAGAGGAAAATGGGAGGATTGAACGCAAAACTGAGGTGATTTAGCGGGAAATTGGAGGGATGTGGATGGGATTTGGGGTGAAGTGGGGGGATTTGGGGTAACAGGGGCGCTGGGCGCCTACCTTGCAGCTCCCGGGACACGTCCCCCGCCGGCGGGGCCATGCCGCGGCCGAGAGGAGCCGAGCCGAGCCGAGCGAGGCCGGAAGTTCCCGAGCGACGCCGGAAACGTCCGAAGGAACCCGAGCGCAGCCCGGCTTTTCCCGGTGCGCTCCAGCGATCCCCCGTAACCTTCAGTGCCCAATATCCCCGAGTGCCCCTCCCCAATATCCCCCCAGCGTCCCTCCCCAATATCTCCCATTCACCCAGTACAGCCCACCGCCCCAATACCTCCTTGTACGACCTCAGCCCCCCTATTCCCCTGTTGCCCTCCCATAACTCGCAGTTCCTCCCAGTCCCCCCGATCCCAACTCGCCTTTCCCTGCCCCTCCTCCCTGCCGCCCCCCCCGTCGGCCCTCCCGACCCCCCCAGCGCTCCCGGCCCCTCCTCCCGCCCCTCCCCTCGCAGGGCAAAGGCCGTGGGGCGGAGCGGGGCGATGTGGGGCGTTATGGGGCGAGTGGGGCTGCGGGCTTTGTCCGGGGCGGCTGCCTCAAATACCGGGAGGACCCTGGAAGGAAAAGTGGCTCTGGTGACCGCCGCCACCGACGGGTGAGTGACCCCGTGGCCCCCCCCCGCCCCCCCCCCCCCCATTGCTTCCATCTCCCCTTTGCCCCACCGGTGACCCATAGCCCTCTATGTCCCCTTTGGGCCCCATGTTCCCCGTAACCCCCGTGTACCCATGGGAACTCCATAGCCTCTTCATCGTCCCACAGCCTCCCCATATCCCCACAGCCCTGTATGTCCCCTTTGTCACAGCAAACGAGTCTCCCCATAAACTCCCCATAGCCTCCATCAACTCAGAATCCCCAAGTCCTCCCAGCCCCCCTGCGCCCCCGCATGACCCATCTGACCCTATAGACACCTCCGATGTTCCTCCATCACCCCGTAACCCCTCCATCATTCCATATATCCCCATGTCTCTCTAGACCCACCATGTCCCCACGACCCCCCATGCTCCCCAAAGAGCCCCTCTCCCTGTAGTGCCCCCAGCCTCCCCCTCCCCACAGGATCGGGCTGGCGGTGGCACAGAGGCTGGGGGCGGCAGGGGCCCGGGTGCTGCTGAGCTCCCGGCGTCAGCCCAACGTGGATGCGGCCGTGCAGAAGCTGCGGGCTCAGGGTCTGGAAGTCAGCGGGGTGGTGTGCCATGTGGGGCAGCCCCAGGACCGTCAGCGCCTGGTGCAGACGGTGAGGGGGTGGGGATGTGGGGCTATGGGGGGCAGTGGAGGTGGGAGGGAGATACAGGGAGATATGGTGCAATGGGGAGCAATAGGGTTGTGGAGGGCAGGTGAGTGGGAGCCTATGGGGTTATGCAGGGCCAATGGGGCTATGGAGATAATGGGTTACTGGGGGCAGTGAGGCTATGGGGTGCAGTAGGGCTAAAGGGTCCCATGGAGTCATAGAACTCTGCGGTCAGGGAGGTCCCATGGAGTTATAGAGCACCATGGAAGTTCCATTGTTCTATGGGGAACTGCTTGGGTACCATCACTCTATGGAGTGCATGGGGATCCCATCATTCAATGGGACTCAATGGGGGGGGCCATGGATCTGTGAGTAGTCCCATGAGACTACGTGTCACCATGGATCCCATTGTTTTGTGGAGGGTCCCATTGGTCTGTGGAGGCCCCAGTGAACCATGAGGCACTCTGGGTATCCTGTGGTGTTATGGGGTCATCCCACTGGTCTGTGGGGGTCCATCACTCTTTGGGGTGAATCCTTCCACAGGCATTGGACACCTATGGTGCCATTGACATCCTGATCTCCAACGCCGCTGTCAACCCCGTCATGGGCAGCACCCTGGAGGTTGAGGAGGCAGCCTGGGAGAAGGTGACCACCCCCTCCCACACACACACACCCTGCCCCACTGACCACAACCACTGACCACAACCCACTGACTGCACCCCACTCTCATGGCTCTGCCCTCTCCAGATCTTCCAGGTGAACGTAACAGCAGCAGCGATGCTGGTGAAGCTGGTGTTGCCCCACATGGAGAAGAGAGGGTGAGAGGAGGTGGGCTGCGGTGGGAGAGAGGGGCTTGATGGAGAGAGGGGCTTCTTGGGGGTGGGCTCATCTGACAGTGCTCCCCCCTTTTCTTCCTGCAGTGGAGGGGCTGTGGTGTTGGTGACATCAGTGGCTGGTTTTATGCCCTTCCCGGTGAGCAGGGAGCGATGGAGGCGGGCGAGGACTGCTGGGATGGGGGGAGGGGTGGGACAGGGGGTGACGGTGGGTGCAGTGGGGAGGTGGTGGGGACGGTCAGACAGTGAGGTGGAGGAATGGTGGGCGTTGGATGGAATGAGGGCAAGGTGGAGGAATGGCTGCTGGGACGCATGGTGTGCATCCGCTAATGGGACAGATGGACATGTGGTTGGGACAGACAGCAGAGGGACAGGTGGATGGACAGACATGCGGTGTGATCATTCCTGTGCCCTGCAGGCTCTGGGTCCGTACAGCGTGAGCAAAACAGCACTGCTGGGGCTGGTGAAGGTGTTGGCCCCGGAGCTGCGTGCCCGTGGAGTGCGGCTCAACGCCGTCGCACCCGGCCTCATCCAGACCCGCTTCAGTGCCGCCGTGAGAGCAGGGGGGGTCATGGGAATGGGGGGTACTGGGGGCAATGGTGGGGGGGTTGTGGGGGCAGGAGGGGCGGTGGGGCAATGCTCAGAGCCCTGTGGTGGGGAATGCAGAGGGTGGAGCTGTGCCTGAGGGGCAGGGCAGAGAATCATAGAATCACAAGGTTGGAAAGGACCTACAGGACCATCTTGTCCAGCTGTCCTCCCAAGGGATCTGACTGGGGCAGGGCATGAAGCAGTGTCTTGTATGTGGGGTGGGGGCCGGGGGGTGGGGCCTCGACTGGGTGTGGTTGTGGGGGTGGGCAGAGCCTCTTGGTGGCGGATGATCTGATAACCAATGGGAGGACAGGTTGGGTGGGAGGAGCTAGTGGGGGGAGGGGTCTGTGATGGGCGGGGCTCAATGTGAGCAGTGCTGTGATGTCTCTCTGTTGCAGCTGTGGGAGAACGAGGCCACCAAGGAACAGCTGATGTCCTCCATGGGGATTGACAGGTGGGGAACGGCCCCGAAGGCCTCAGCCTGGGGACGAGGAGCCTTGGGTGGTGGCGGTGACAAGGGGTGACCCCGTGGTATCCTCCCCTGTCCCCAGGCTGGGAACACCATCGGATGTGGCCGAGGTGGTGGCATTCCTCTGCTCCCCTGCCGCCTCCTACGTGGTGGGAGAGACCGTGGTGGTGGCCGGGGGGACCCCATCCCGCCTCTAAAGGACCCCGGAGAGTGCTGGGATGGCATCACTGTGTGGCACCAGGGGTGGTCTGGGAGAGACATCTGTATCTGTAGGGGAGCTCTGGGGACACCTGATGGGATGCTGAGGTTTAGTCCAGGAGGATGAGGGGACCTATAGGGGACATCCAGGTCCACAGGAGGCACTTGGGGCCATCTGTGGGGAGCTGGGTCCTGCAGAAAACTTCTGGGTCTGCCGTGGAGGTCTTTGTAGGCCCCAGTGTCCCCTTGGATGTCCCCCATAGTGTTTCTAGGGGGATCAACAGGGAATACTGAGGCTTACAGAAGCATCTGGGGACATTGGGGGTGGCCTATAAGGAATACTGAGGGCTGTAGGGGGTGCTTGGGATTTATGGGGGATATTGTGGTCTACAGAGAAGTGTAAGGAGCTTTGTAGGAGACACTGAAATCAATATGGGGCATTTGGGGAAATCTATGGGAGCATGGAGGCATAGGGACACCCTCAGGGACACTGGGATCCGTAGGGGACATTCTAGGGCCTATCAGGTAGATTTGGGGTCACTTCAGCATGTTTGGGGCACTTTGGATCCCCTAATAAATCCACTCACGCTGCCCTGGTTACAGCTCAGAGGTGTCTATTTGGGGCCATTGTGAGTGCCATCACAGCACTCAACATGGGAGTGACCATCCTCACAGTGCTGGCAGCCATCTTGAAGGGACAGGCATTATCTTGAGGTGGCATCTTCTTGGACCTCCCCCTTGGGGCCTCCTGCAATACCCCATTTCCTCATGCACCCTATTAGCACTAACAAGCATCACAATGGCAATTAGCAGGGCCCATTTATTGCCAGGGACAATAAATGACTATAGAATCACAGACTCGTGGAAGTTGGAAAAGCTAAGATCATCCAGTCCAACTCCAGCCCATCCCACTGTGCCCCACTGTGTCTCTCAGAGCCACATCTCCACAGTTCTTGAGCACCTCCTGGAATGGTGACTCCACCACAGCCTGGGGCAGTCTGTGGCAGTGCTTTTCTGAGAAGACTTTTCCTAATATCCAACCTGAACCTCCCTCAGTGCAATTCAAAGCCATCACCTCTCATCCTACCAACCCCTCACCTTGCTACAACCTCCTTACAGGCAGTTGAGGAGGCTCAGGAGAGGCCTTATCACCTTCTACTTCTCCAGACTGAGCCATCCCTGTTCCCTCACCCACTCCCCATCAGACTTGTGCTCCAGACGCTCACAGCTTTATTGCCCTTCTCTGACACTCTCCAGCTCAATGTATTTCTTGTCGTGAGGGACCCCAATACTGGAGGTGCAGCCCAGAGTTGCACTCCAGACTATTTTTGTATTAGCAGCTCATTAAGCTATATCTGAATGCAACCCAAATTCAGGCTAGGTGTGGCCTTTGCAAACATGGTGAAAACCAACCTACGATGGCATGAACACAAGTCCCACATTACAGCTGTTGGGTTTTCCTTTCATGTGTGCATCACTCTGTTTTGGACTCATCAGCAAAAAAATGAAGAGATGTGAGGGGAATACAGTCCCATTTTACCTTTGAGTTTATCAAGGTCCCTCTGGATGGGATCCCTCCCTTCTGCTGTATCAGCTGCACTGCTCAATTTGGTGTCATCAGCAAACTGCTGAGGGTGCACTCAATCCCCTCATCTGTGTCACTGATAGAGATGTTAAGAGCACCGGTCCCAAGACAGAGCCCTGAGTACAGCGCTCATCACTGCCCTCCACCTGGACATGGAGCCACTGACCACAACCCTCTGCTGCGACCTTTTGTCCAATTCCTTACCCACCAATCAATCCACCCTTCAAATCCATATATCTGCAATTTAGCAATAAGGATGTGGTGGGGGACCATGTCAAAGGCCTTGCAGATGTCCAGGTAGATGAAGTTGGTTGCCTTCCCTTTGTCCACTAGTGCTGTCACTCCAACACAGGAGGCCACCTGATGAGTCAGGCACAGCCTTCCCTTGGTGAAGCTGTGCTGGCTGTCTCGGATCACATGCTCATCCCTCATGTGCCTGAACTCTTCCAGGAAGATCTGCTCCAAGTTCTTCCCAGGTACAGAGGTGAGACTCACCAGCCTGTAGTTCCCCAGTTCCTCCTTCCTCCCTTTGATGTTTCCCTTTTTCCAGTCCCCAGGGATTTTGCCTGACAGCCACCTCAGCCAGCTCCCTTAGGACCCTGGGTTGCACGCCATCCAGCCCCAGGGACTTGTACACATTCATTCTCAAGAGTCAGTCTCAGATTTGCTCTGCCCTTACAGCAGGGGGGAGTTTGCTCCCCCAGTTCCCACCTGGAGGTTCAGGTTCAGGGATGTGAGGTTCAGGGATGTGAGAATCCTGGCTGCCAGCAAAGACTGAGGCAGAGAACACATTGAGTACCTCAGCCTCCTCCATATCTGTTGTAGCCAGTTCTCCTTTCCCATTTAGCAGAGGAGATACATTCTCTTTGGCCTGCCTTTTCTTACTGACATATCTGGATCCCTTCTTGTTGTCTTTAACATCCCTTGCCAACTTCAGTTCCTTGACTTTCCTAATCCCATCTCTGCAAGTCTGGACAGCATCCCTGTGTTCTTTGCAGATGACACATCCTTGCTCCCACTGTCAGTGCTTGCCCTTCTCCCTCAGTTTGCCCAGCAGGTCCTTGTTGAGCCTTGCTGGTTTCCTGCCCCCCTGCCTGCTTTCTTATTCTGAGGGATGGAGAGCTCAGAAAGGCATCTTTAATGAGCAGCCAGCTTTCTTCTCTCCTTTATCCCCAAGGACTTCTTCCCAGGAGATCTCATCCAGCAATTCCTTGAACAGCCTCACATTGGCTCTCCTGAAGTTCAGAGTCCTGACTCAAGACTTTGCATTCACTTCACATTCCTCGAGATCATGAAATCAATCAGGGCATAGTCACTGCAGCCCAGGCTGCCTCCCATCTTAATATCTTTAATGATCTCCTTTGCATTGGTGAGCAGCTGATCCAGCAACACTTCACCCCCCTGGTTGGTCTGTCCAATACCTGGACCAGAAGATTGTTGTCAATGGACTCCAGGAGTCTCACGGATCTCTTGTAGCTCGCTGTGTTGTTTTGCCAGTGGACATCGAGGTGGTTGAAATCCCCCATCAGGATGAGACCTTTGAATTAAGGAAATATGGAGGAGCAGTGACTGAAAAGAGAGAGATGAGAGGAGAAAAGGGACTGAGGTCAAAACAGAGTAGAAGGACGAGGTGAGAACGGCATATAGTGAGGGGGAACAAAGCACTGAAGTGCTGATGGAATAGAGGACATGGAGACGGATGGCGAAAGGACGGAAGAACAGTGCTCAGTGTGTGCAGGGAAAGGCGATGGGGAAAAACAGCTGGGAGAAATAGAGGCAAAGCTGCATTAGAAAGCAAAGGACTTAAGAACAAAATTTGGAGGGGAATGCGAAACGACCCAAACGCTCAGCGGCTTCGTCACCGGAGACCTCCGTCGCACCCATCGACCCCCCAGACCCCCCGCCTCCATCAGCGACTCCGGCCACCCCCGCGGTCCGAGCGGCGCACGCAGCACAGCGCCGCGCTCCGCGAACGGCGCCCCGCGGGACACAACGCAGCGCCGAGCGCACAACAGCGCCCCCTGCGGGACACGCAGGGCCTTTATTTCATGGTCTGCACTGCCACGGCCCTTTTCGGGCATCTTTCTGCTTTATTGGAGGGTCTCTGA